TGGAGCATCGACCAACATTTTTTACGATTTCAAAGGTATAAGGAAGAGGTGCTTTACTTGCCAGAGGGTGACACATGAGAACATTAAATGTCCCCTTAAAAAACAAAGCACTTCTCTAGTAGTTCAAAAGGTAGTGGTTAACAAAGCTAAAGGAGACACGAGAACAATCAATATAGCAACGGGGACGGATCCATTGTAGGGAGTTCTATCAGAAACTCAATTGGGGATCAACCCAGAGACAGGAATCCCTAGGATTTATCCAGATGTTCTCCTTGAGAGGCTTCAATCTCTAATGCACTACAAGAAAACAGGATATTAGTGACTACTTTTTGTGACTGTTTTTTCGGTCACAAATTTTTGCGATTCTTTTACGACTGTTTTGTGACTACCGAATATATAGTCGCATATTTACGACCACAAATGTTAGTCGTTTAATAGTCCTTAATTAGCGACTGAATTGGGATGGAGATAAAAACAGTCATAGATTTAAGACTGTTTTGCGATTCTATTTTTAGTCAGTAAGTGTAGTCGAAAAACAATCACAAAATTGTGACTACATTGCTACTAATTTGTGACTAATCCGTATGATTTTTAGAATTTCATCAAAAAATTATTGTAAATATATTAGTTTTAGGTTTCTACATAGATTCAACTAATATATTATCAACTACTAAATTTTTTTATTTAACAAAATTTTATAAACTTTAACTTATCTAATATTTGCATCTTACATAACAATTGCCTTTATAGTACATATATGTTTGCAATCAAGCATAGAGTTGAAGTGTATAGTTTTTCAAACTTCACTTAATTAGTATTATTCAACACTACATAATCAAGCATAGACTTAAGAAATATACTAGGAATTATCAATTAACAATGTGTATCAATTTAAAGGGTTTAAATGTTTAGGGTTTAGGCTATAAATTTGTGACTAACAAAATAGTCTCACAAAACAATCACCAATTTGTGACTACTTTATTCTATCGTCACATATTTGCGACTACTTTGTGACTTTTCTATTTTTAGCATTGTCAAATGATTTGAATTTTTGGTAAAATAATTTGGATATATAGGTTGTGATCGGTTAATTCATCTAGCTTGTGATGTAATGTATCAATCATTTATTTAATAAGTTTTAGCACCTTCTCATGGTTTAATTTGTTTGGGTTACTAGAACTATAGATAAGAAATGACATGTTTAAGAGTTTAGGGTTTAGGGCATCTCAAATTTCACAACTTCAAATCTTATTTTCCCTTAGTTTTGTCTAATCTTTTATGATGAGACTAGTGGACTATTCTTTTTTATCTACACTTATA